CCCATAGGAGCTTTTACTCTTTCTTTTCATCGCTTGCTTAGCAAGTGCATTATTCCGAAACTAACCTGGTTTTTGTTGAAACTTCGCAACTAAAAATATAAAAGAAAATAATTTTGAAATATTGCTCAGATAAGACAAAAAGTTTTTTTGATTTGCAGGGGCGACGACTGATAAGACGACCGGGTGAGCAGGGACGTCCTTTGAATGAAGATGACATCCACGGGATGATGCAACACAGCGATGTGACCGGTGTACTTGCCTACACTGCTCCACAGCAGGTGATTTTTGCAATCCTGAAGGAGTGCACCGAATACTGAGAAAAGAGCAATACGCAGTCATTCGGTCCTGTTTTTCTTTTGACTGTTTTTTTTTTTTTTGGGTTAGAAGTGTTTCGCATTTTCATTTGTTGAACTTCATATGATTAGACCGATTTCAGTGACTAAAATATCAATTCATAAAAAAATTATTATCTTTTTGCCCAGATTACGAAAAATTTCTTCTTCCAAAATTTTTGGTAATGCCAGCATTTTTACAACTGCTGGCTCTAAAATCGTAAGTTATCACGAAAATTTTAGTGAAAGCAGGTAGGAGGTGGAGTGTGATTAGTGGAGAAGAGAAGGGGTATACTTGATTGTTGAAGAGCTACTAAACTGAGCTGCAGTAAAATAAGCAGGTCAAGACATATTAAACTGAGATGAAAAACTGGCTGAAAAAAGTAATATCGAATTATCGGAAGACATCTCTTCCGCAAAAATGTATTGAGTGCTTCTTCTGGATTTCTTTTCTAGTTCCGAGTCAAATTTTTTAAATGAAATTTAAATGAAATATGCATAATCGCGCAACCAGAAAAATGAACATTAAAAGTTCGCAGCCGCTAGCAGGCAAGGGTTCTGGTGATTGTTAAAAGACGAGACTAGACTGTATCTTGGTTTGTTGGGGTTAATAGCTTGCAGTGCTTGAAAGATGCGTGAATGCAGCTGAAAATGCAGGGATGCAGGTACCGCATGGACTGGACCTCTATCGAGTACAGTCACGCGAATGCCTTAATATGGGTTGGCGGAGATATGTTCCAGCAGACCAGCTCGGCCAACGACCCGCTCTTCTTCCTTCATCATGCCTTTGTGGATAGCATCTGGGAGTACTGGAGACAACATCGACAGGTCAGCAGCGAGTTTTATCCAGTTCTTGCCTTCAGTTTTGTAGAATTCCCTTAGCAAAAAACTTCTGCACTGCGCTTCAAATTGCCAAACGTTTCAGACTTCAGGCACGCGGTCGAAAGCATATCCGCCAGACCTACCGGAATGTAGCAGCGCGGATCACTTCGCGCAGAGCCCAATGCGTCCATTCGAGCCACTCAGAAATATCGACGGGATCAGCAACGACTATACTGGTGGACTGTACAGATATGCTCCACGTCCGACGTGCCCCTCCGGCAGGGATGAGCAATGTGCAAGCGAGTAAGTTACCTTTGTTGCAGGAATTACTGGAATCTCCCGGTTTTATAATGACTTCCCAGTGTTGCTTAGGTGCATCGCACTGGTGTATAATTTCTCCTCGGTCCATTTCCAGGCAGAAATTGTTCGCTAGTTTGTCCCAGTCAAAAACCCAGGCTGGAACGCACCAGGCGGGCCGGAGCGATTATGCGTTTTTGCACTTTCGTACCG